AGAGAGAGAGAGAGAGAGAGAGAGAGAGAGAGAGAGAGAGAGAGAGAGAGAGAGAGAGAGAGAGAGAGAGAGAGAGAGAGAGAGCGCGAAACAGACTTAAAGAGAAAAACCACTTACTGACCTAAATCGTGTCAATAGGTACATAAAACACCTACTTTAAAAAAAAGCTAACTGTGGAGACATACAACGACGTATCAGGTCGTATGCATGTGTTGACTGTGGTCCCTTCACATCGATAAATTTTTGCTCAGTTATAAACTTCATCGATCTAATAGATACAAAATTAGTCAGTTTATACCACCCTGAAATGTCAGTCAAATCAAATGGTTTGGACATGTTGTGAAAGTGGGGTCACAACAGGCAGCCTCAAAGGCCAACAACTTGTGATTTGATGGCTTCAATGCTAAAGGAATGCCAAGAAAACGATGGATCGAAGGAGTCAAAGAGACTCTTCAAAGGCACAATATTATTATGACGACCCAAAAGGCAACACACCTATCTTACGTCCGACAATTACATCTCCCCTCGACACCTCAAGGTATACGAAGACAGGAAAAGTGAAAATAATCAAGTGATTGGAAAACGAAGAGAGAAAAGGTGAAAGCAATCTAGTGATATCTTTCCCATCGCCTTAGAGATAAAAATGTCCCCCCCAAAGAAGATCGAGTACATTGTCCTTTTATTATTTTTTTCTTTTCTTTTTGTTCCTCTCACCAGACCCAGAACACAGTATTTATTCGGAGACGTCTCCGACGGAGATAGACCAATTAAGTAAAAAATAATCTGGGGGTTTTAACCCATAATTTGACATCTTGCAGTTAGGTCTGAAATTTTCTTGAAAATATTTGATTTGCGACAGTTATACTGGCTATATGTGTGTGCAAACAATATGCAGTTTGACCCCAAAACAGTGAATCTGTGTGTGGAGTGTGGGAGTACGTCTTCGAATAGTTCCTGGGTGCTCGCCGGAGACGTCTCGGAATATCTTCTGCCCTTACCAGACACTGTCCGACGACTCCTCTACCTCCTCCCCGAAGCCGCCCAGCACTGTGTCGATGGTGATGGAACCGTCCGTGTCGTGCGCTGAGGCAAAGTTGGTCACACTTCTTGAGGGAATTCCCAGAGCTCGGGCGACTGAAGGGAACCAAAATGAAAGGGGTGCGGGAATTTGCGGCAGATTCTATTTGCGATATCATTATCGATGATGATAATATAATACCGGAAAAACCTATGGGGTGTGACTAAATGCATTAATTTTGCTCAAATGGATCTAAGTAAGGAGTGTACAAAGATTTTACTTGGTCGGGGAT